AATTCTCTGTAATTTACAAGGGCAAGAGATTGTGGAAAGAGCTCATGGAGTACTGAAACAACAATTGCTAAAAGTAAAAGAAGGAGAAATATACCCCTGCCCCCATACCATATAACTATCTTCATCATGCTCTATTTATTTAAAAATTTCTGACATTGATACAGCAGGTAAATCAGCCTCTGAACATTTCTGGCATCCTCAAACCCAACATCATTTTGCTAATGTTAGATGGAAAGATCTGACAGAACTATGTCATGGGCCTGATCCTATATTGATGTGGGGACGAGGTTACGAATGTGTTTTCTCACAAGATGCTGAAGGAGCATGGTGGCTGCCAGAGTGATTGGTGAGACATGCTGATGCCGGGACAAAGAATGATGCTGATCCTCATCTTGCTGAATGACCTGACGATGGCAACAGGGAAGCTAGCTGTATTTGGCATATGTTTCTGACCCACCTTTACTGCATCCTTCTGTATGGTCAAGGCCAGAAGTACTTATGACCTCTAATAATAATACTCAGCTGTTAGGATTTCCTTGGACTGAGAGTAAAATTATTTCAAATTAGTGAGTTAGATTGCTATGGGTTGGGGCCTACCTATTTGTTTTATTAGAAATAATACCAATGCTGGATGTGTTTCTGTGCACCCTAAGACTTGGAAGAAGAATATCTCTAAGACTGTAATTCAAAGCATTAAGATGGGAATGCCTATATCTCAGACTGGACAAGCTGCCTTACCTCAGGCTTTTAGACCTTGAGGGACAGAGAACATGGAGACCATGGAACCTGCCTTAAAAAAATTAATCAAATGGAGACATTGTTATAATGACCCTCCTGTTTCCTTTAATGGGACCATTTATTCTGACTCAATCATAGACTGGTCTGGAAATCAATCCAATATTGGACAAAAGGAAATAACAGTGGACACTTGTAGGACTGGTTCTGAACATTTTCAGAGAAATATTTGGAAATTGGCAGCTGCATTGTATGATGTTTTGTTTGCTGTGGATAAAAATGGAACTGATTCTGGGGTTAAGGGAAATGTAACATCCTGAATTACCTAATCTTTTACTAATTAGGAATGTTACCTTTGTTATAGGCTCTGAATATGAGTTCAGTGTTTCTTGTTTTAATTGTCTTTTGTCCAGTTGGGTTTCTGTACTCTTTGATGGTCAATCTGTAATGATAGTACATCAACCAGATTTTATTATGATTTTATTATGATTCCTGTAAATTTATCTGAACGCTGGCATTCTTAAAAAGGCTTACAAATACTGGAAGAATTAGGTTATGCTCTGGCAAGGAGCAAATGTACAGCTGGGCTGATCATTGTCAGTGTTGTTGCTCTTGTAACACTTACAGCCAGTGCTGCTATTTCTGCATTGGCTTTCACACAAGAGGTACAAACAGCTAGTTTTTGTTAATCATCTTGCTGAAAATTTAACCAATGCCCTGAGGTTACAAGAGGATTTGGATAAACAGCTAGAACAAAGAATTGATACATCATATGATATACTGCAGATCATGGGAGATGAGGTACAAGGTGTGAAAGTTAGAAGCCATTTAGACTGTCATGCTTGGTATCTATGGATTTGTATAACTCCGAAAATGTATAATGGGAATCAGCATAATTGGACCAAGTAAAAAGGCACCTTCAAGGTATATGGCATGCTACTAATACTTCTTTAGATTTATTAGCCCTGGATAAGGAGATATAAAGTTTAAGAAATGCAAAGCCTTTATGTTTTGACACTGCTGGCATTTCAAATGATATTCTGAAAAAGTTACAGGCTGGTTTTCCTTCATGGTCCTTATCTACATCTCTCTTATTAGGCATAGCAGAACTTGACTTTATGGTCCTTTTGACAGCATGTCTATTAACCGTTCTTTTGAGAGGAATCATCAGAGTTTTTATAGATGTCAAAACAGAGTTACATAATTCAAGCTCCAATGTCTTCCCTAGCAGAAGTTGATCGTCAATGATCATCTTGAATACCTTCTCAATCTAAGATAGGCCACGAACACAAGATTACTTGTGTGCCAATGACAGATAAGAACTGTGTTTTTGGATGGCAATCTAAGACAGGCACAACTTTCTACTCCATGACTGATAAGGAAAGTAGTTCTTATAGATAAAAAAAAAGAACAGGTAAGATTCTCTTAGATGTCTAAAACAAATAGGGCATGAAAACTAGAATTCCTGTACAGATGACAGGTAAGGTCCATACTTCTTGATGGGATGCTTAAAACAGGCACAATCTCTATGCACCAATAGCTGAGACAGCTTTGGCTTGTATATAAAAAAGGGGTACATGAAGGGAGCACATCCAGACTTAACTTTGGCTGACTTCTTGCTTGTGATTAATCATGAATGAGTCTGCCAACATCTGTCTTTGTTTTTATTTAAAATGTGCATTATATCCTACCAAGTTCCTCTGCTAATGAAGACCCACACTCAGGGGAGACCCTCACTCAAGTCTCGGGATATCACGACCATCCAATAACTCGCAAGACATCGAAACTGGATGCAAACAGCAGAGGCTTTACTCAGGAGAAACAGCCGGCTGTTGGTCATTCGTATGCTCACGCAGGAGCTGAATTGACAAGGACAGCCAGTCTGAGGAGGGTTTTTAAAGGGGAAAACCACAAACCAGGGGATGAGGAGGGGGCGAGGGGGTTGCTAAGGAGACATAACATAAAAATAGCGGAAAATTCCAGAGAAACCCAACCTATGTGAGTCAAGGTCATGTGGAAAACACTCTGTATACTCATTCTTCTCAGAAATTAGGTTCTGTCCTGTCACGTCACTGTGGCCTTGCCCTGTCACTGTGGCCTTGCCCTGTCACTGTGGTCCTGCCCTGTCACTGTGGTCCTGCCTTGTCACTGTGGTCCTGCCTTGTCACTGTGGTCACCAGCTTCCTGGTTCCACGTAGATGACTTGCATTCTTCTCTTTTTGTGGTTCGCTGGTTCGAAAATTACCCATGCCCTTAAAAGAAAACCCTAAAAAGAATCTATATATGCTTTCTATAAAATGATCTTTATAATTTTTTCATTCTATACTTACACATACATCTTTGACAGACTGTCCAAGCCTGAAGGAAATGGCTTTAGTCAAACGTAGTTACTGTGTACCATAAACTCACTACATAAGTATTTGTGTTTGTTGTTTAACTTCCTGGAATTGGTCATACTTTCTGTTGCTTGCCTTTAAAAGACACTGAGAAAGTAAACTTGCTGCTAGCAGTGGTATTGACCAGCAGCCCTCCCATCTCAGTCTCTTGCTTCTTCTTTCTGCCTTTTCTATAATCATTCCCATACTCCAAGTAGTGGGTCTTTCTTTCTTTCTTTCTTTCTTTCTTTCCTTCTTTCTTTTTTTGTTTTGTTTTTCAAGACAGGGTTTCTCTGTATAGCCCTGGCTGTCCTGGAACTCACTCTGTAGACCAGGCTGGCCTCGAACTCAGAAATCCACCTGTCTCTGCCTCCCAAGTGCTGGGATTATAGGCGTGCGCCACTACCGCCTGGCAAATATTTGTTTAGTTTTTTTTTTTTTTTATATGTGTGAGTACACTGTCGCTGTCTTCAGACACACCAGAAGAGGGCATTGGATTCCATTACAGATGGTTGTGAGCCACCATGTGGTTGCTGGGATTTGAACTCAGGACCTCTGGAAGAGCAGTCAGTGCTCTTAACCACTGAGCCATGTCTCCAGCCAAGTAGTGGTTTTTATGTTGACTGACCAGCAGGCTCTGGTACCAGGCCCAGATCCATGGTTTTGAATTATCCCACCGCAAAATCTGCTTCATATATGACTTGTTGGAACATGTGAAAGGGCTAGCCCTGCTGATCCAAAGCTGCAGGATCTCAATGACATAGGACAACAGCAGGATAGCTGAGAGGAGTCCCTGTGAGGATCCAATATTGGTGTAGCAGAAGCCAGACACCTAGAACCAGACCAATGACACATTGAAACGTACATTTGCAAGTAAGAGTGTGTGGACAAAAGGGTATACTCTAAGACACACTGTGACACACAACAGCTTTCACAATGAGATGTTTTCTAAACTTTATTTGTATTTTTTGTTTTTTTGTGGGGGAGGTTCCAAGGCCACAAAGGCCAGAAAGAATCAATAAAAAGTAAAACAAAAAAGGTTGAGTTAGAAACAGCTGGTCATTACAAATTGTTTTCCTTTCACTACGTAAGTGTTAGAGCTAGTAGGAGCAATTCTCCAACAATGGCAAAAGAATATATAAAGGAACACATTTTTTTCTATGCTACTTGTATTAAGACAGTTCTTAAAATCATTTAATTTGGGGAGTCAAATGCTTGTTTGACAGTTTAAATTCATTAGCTTTGAATCCCAGCTATACCAAGCCTGTTGTGACAGTTGAGTCGATCTGATTGGCATGGCCACACCTTTCTTCTAGGGTGGTTGTTTATATGAATCTGGTAAGGCTAACTTTAACTCTGTTTCTGGCATACAGCAGGTGCTATGTATGGCCCCCATCATTAACTGCAAGGTATGCAATTCGGTGATAGTTGGAAAGCTGGACGATGCCCCAGAAAAGTTCAGCTTGAACCTAATTAGACAATTAATTTTAGAGCCAAGCACTGCAACATTGAATTACCAAAGTCTCAAAGCTAGAAACTGTTCCCATCATTTTGGATTATTCTTCGTGTCATGAGACCCCACTTTTAAAACAACAAAGAAGCTGAATTTTAACTCAAAAGATCCTCTACTGTACAGCGTGTTTAGTCGTCACAAGGCAGAAGAGAATATTTTCGTTCACAAGACGGTGCCCAAGGTAGAGGATAAAGCACCATCTCACAAAAACCAGTGTAGTTCCCCAAAGTAAAAACCCACTAAGCATGGAAGCCGCAAGACAGAGGCTGCCGACCGGGAAGGCAGTCGCTCTGGAGCACGACAGGGGCGGGGCGGTAGGGCGCTCTGCAGCACGACAGGGGCGGGGCGGGGTCGTAAAGCAACGCGGAGCCTAATTCGCCTCCTTGGCGTCCTTGAAAAGACGGTGGAACATGGCTGGCACGGCGCGCAGCTGCGGGACCAGCCTGGACCTGCTGCGGTCCTTTCCGCGAGTGAGCCTATCCAACCTGAAGCCCAGTCTCAACTCCAGAAAACGGGTAAATGCTTGGGGGGCGGTGCGGGGAATGCAAGGTCCGCGTCACGCTGGCGAAGGACTCGTGTGGGCGCCTGGCTCCCTTCCGCGTGCGCCCAGTATTAAAGCATAAAGATGTTAAGCAGGCAGAGGGGCGCACACTCGGGAACTGCGGAATAATTCGCCCAAAATTGCGTTTAAATTGAAGTGCTTAGCAAGAGCCTATCATCGTTATAAAAATTGTAATGGATTTTCTACACTTCAGCTGTCCAATGTGCAACCCAGGGTGCAACTAGAAAAGCTGTTGTCCGTCGACTTTTATTGTGACTCAATATACTGCTTTTGGGTGTTTACAAAGTAAATTAAGGGAAAGATGTTACGGAAAACACCGAAAAGACTACCCGACTCTCTCCTGTTATAATTAGCTAATTTTTTATGTTCTGGTGCAGTTCCGGTAGGCTCAGGTTAAAGGGGGAGGGAGGCGGAGGGCTTTGGAAGACAGGTCACAATTCTTCGTTTCTGTGGAAATTACAGCTTCATGAGGAACTTACCCAAGCAGTTAGTCATTTCACAACAGTTGTACAGTTCTGTGAAGGGGGACAAGAAGTCAGAGTTGCCAGGAGATTTATCTTTTAGGAATTTAGAATGCGTCCCTACCACAAAATGGAGCCATATGTGATATAATTACGTATTTACAATTAATTTAAAAATAAGACTTTTAATATCACTCAAGCCTCATTTTGGCTGTTTAGTTCTAGGATTTTCTTTTTCCGTATAATCCGCTTTCTACTGAGGACTGAATTTAGGCCCTTAGCTTGTTTCTTGTTTATTCAAGCACACTACCATTGAGGTGTAACCCCAAACCCTTTTCCGCCTTTTAAATGCTTTATTCAGAGACAGAGTTTCGGTAAATTGGGAGTTCCTGGCCTTGACCTTATTTGTAGCTCAGGCAGGCCTTGAACTTTGATTCCTCCAGCCTCAACCTACCAGGTAGCAATCACTACGGGAACCTAGCTTATTGTAGAGCTTGTTACTCCTGTTGGATTCCATCCCATCCTTAGAAGTTTGCCTTGTGTTTCGCCTTGTATTTTGGTTACTAGGATTAGCTACATTCTGAGAGAACTATGTTGGTGGAGTGGAAAGATGAGCAAGCAGCTAGAGCGCAGCTTGGCTCACAGCACCTGAGCTCTTGTTCGATGGATAAAGGGCATTAATATGGAATATGCTATGAGGTGAAACACAGTTTTCAGAAATGTATCTGTAGATCTTAACACTCACTTTTTCTTGTAGGAAAGACGTCCAAGAGATCGGAGAAGAGGTAGGAAGTGTGGCAGAGGCCATAAAGGAGAAAGGCAGAGAGGAACCCGGCCGAGGCTGGGCTTTGAGGGAGGGCAGACTCCATTTTACATTCGAATCCCAAAATATGGATTTAATGAAGGACATAGGTAAGGTTGTTTTTCTTTTGAAGTACAAATTCTAATTTCCACTAAGAATTATGTAAGTAATTTGGTAGAAACCTTATGTTTATGTACAAGCAAACTTATGGTATTGTTCCTTTGAATAATTTTTAATAATGTAAATTAATCTATATTGTGTGTATCACTGTGTGTGTCGCTCCCAAAAAAGCATGTTCACATAGATGTTCTACTCAGATCTACAAAATGCTGGTGCTTGCTGTCATAATTCCTGAGATGGTTAGTAATTTTAAAAATGTGTATTTATCTTTCCATATATACATATAACATATATGTAAAGAAATGTGTCTTGCCATATATATTTTTATTTCCATATATATTACCTTTATAAGCATGTATATATTTGAAAAATAGATATATTTAAATAGATGCATATACACAAACACTCCCATATATTATGTATATATACATACATATTATACATAATATGTATATAATACATATGTGTATATGTAATATGTATATGGTACATGTAGTAGCGACTTTTTTTGTGGGGGAGGTTTTTTTTCGAGACAGGGTTTCTCTGTGTAGTCCTGGCTGTCTTGGAACTCACTCTGTAGACCAGGCTAGCCTTGAACTCTCGAACTCAGAAATCCGCCTGCCTCTGCCTCCGAAGTGCTGGGATTAAAGGCGTGCGCCACCACCGCCCGGCAGTAGCGACCATTTTTATTCTATGATGTTATTTTGAGTTGAACGTCTGTGAGTTATGTGCATGAATGAAGTAAATGTTTAGAAAGGTAAGTTGTTTTCAGGGGAACAAAGGAAGCACTGGTGTTTTATGCATATTTATTGTGCTTATAAGTTTATTTTAGATGATTAGAAATTTGAAGGAAAACACTGCTGATCTGAAGAGGCTAGAGGAAGGTGACTTGGTGTTTACTAATTGTTATATTTCCTGTTTTGCAGTTTCAGGCACCAGTATCAGCCTTTGAGTCTCAGGAGACTACAGTATCTCATTGATTTAGGTCGAGTTGATCCAACTCAACCTATTGACTTAACACAGCTTGTGAATGGGAGAGGCGTGACCGTCCAGCCACGGAAAAGGGACTATGGGGTCCAGCTGGTTGAAGAGGTAACTCTGGACTGGAGTTTTGTCTCTTGTGATGTTTGGTACTATGTAGGTACTCTGCCATACTCAGTAGTCCCTTGTCACCATCTACACACACCACAGCGGTGCTTCACCGTGGACATCGCCAAACTGCACAGACACTATTGTCTTTTCATACAGACCTCTAATAAAGATTAATTTATAAGTTAGACATAGTAGAAGGTTAGAAATTAATTGTTATAGTTCTTAGTAGCCTTAAGTTATGACTCTGTTAAATGGAGAACTTCCATCTCTCTACTTCAGGTACACACTTTATGGTTCTTCTTTGTCATATCCGAACTGTCAGCATCACTGCTCTTTTGTACACTGGGGCCTTCATAAGTAAGATAAGGAATAACTGCACACAGCATGGTGATACTGTTCAGACTAATGGATGGGTACTGTATAAAGTGTGAGAATGATATAATAAGGTGGGATTCGTGTCTGGGAAGGATGGGGTGGAGCAACATGAGACCTCAGCATGCTACTCGATACAATTTAAACCTAAGACGTGCTGGAGATACACTTCCAGCCTGTTTAGGGTCTTGGTTTGATTCCTAGCTCTGCAGAAAGACTTACGACTTGTGGAGGACTGCCAACCAGTGACTAAAACTGTGAAAGGTGAATCTGAGAGACTGCTTAATCAACATCCCTTCTTGGGGCCTGGAGAGATACATGAGTGGTCAAAGACACTGGCTGTTGGAGGACCCGGGTTCAAGTCTCAGTATCCATATGGTACTCAAAATTTTAACTGCAGTCCCAGGAGATCTTCCACACTTTGCTGGTCTCGATGGGAATTGCATACACATGGGGTACAGACATTCATACAGACAATATACTTACACATAGATTAAAAATAAAACACAAATCCAAAATTCTAGTTCACACTAGCTGTGGTTTTAGAAGGTTGATGTACATTCAGAGCATAGCTCTGTGTGTCTGTACAGCTTTTTCCCTATTTTTTTATTTTTTTTTGTTTCACCTGTCAATATAAGGAAGTTCAATTAAATTTAAAAGAATTTTTTTTAAAGATTTATTTATTTTATTTATGAGTTCACTGTAGCTGTCTTTAGACACACCAGAAGAGGGCATCGAATCTCATTATGGATGGTTGTGAGCCACCATGTGGTTGCTGGGAATTGAACTCAGGACCTCTGGAAGAGCAGTCAGTGCTCTTAACCGCTGAGCCATCTCTCCAGCCCCTTAAAATAATTTTTTTTTAGATTTCTTTATGTACATAAGGATGTTGTCTATGTTCATGTATACCGTACGTACCCACAGAGTTCAGCAGAGGATATTAGGTCCCCCGGAACTGGAGTTAAAGATAGTTGTGAGCCACTGTGTGGATAACAGAAACCAAACCCCAGCCTCCAGAGCATCAAGAACTCTTAACCTCTAATTTCTCTCTCAGCCTCAGGGAAGATGTTTCTGGAGTTAATTTGTTGTGAGGTGGGATAGCTTTGGCAGGCTGTTTTGGAACTCATGGTCTGGACCTGGTCGACTCCTGCCCTTCCTGTTGAGCACGGGGGTGACAGGGATGTGTGTGGGCTCCATCTGTCTTGGACTTGTTCACGTGACTTCACCCTTAAAAATAGTTTACTACATTGCAGATTGGCAGGAGCTAACCAGGAGATCAGGTGCAGCCAGCGGCCCTGGTCCCTCTCTTAGAAGCACACTCTGTGTCTGCCTTTTCCAACCCAAGGCATTTCTCTTTATATTGTTTTTATTTTATGTGTGAGTGTTTTGCCTGCCATGTACCATGTGTGTACCTGAAGCCAGATGAAGCTTTTTATCCCCTAGAGATGGTTGTGAGCCACCGTATGGGTGCTGAGAATAAAACTCTGGCCCTCTGGAAGAGCAGCGAGTGCCATTAACCATCTCTTCAGCCTCTCAAATAATTTTTCTTAATATTTGGTCCAAAACTGCACTTACACGTTGTTGTCTTTTTCACTGTGACCAAGCCCTGCGCTGATAGACAGACACTTTGTTACAGTTTCAGTGGTGTCGGGTCTTAGCTCTGAAAGTTACTTAATATTTATGGAATGAATTAAATCCTGTTTCAGCTTCAGTAAAAAATTGCTGTTATATGGATTGAACAACAGTTCATAAGCAAATTAACTACATAGCTAAGTAGGTAACTTAGTGTCCACTAGAGGGAAGCATATGTCCATGGAAGAATCTTTTAAATTCCTTTGAGACTGTGAACCTAAGGTAAGAGTTTTCCTGGTAAACGTGGTAGATCACACTTGTGATCCCAGCACTTGAGAAACCACTGCAGGAGTGTGGCTGAATGTTTAAGACTACCATGAGCTATGTATGAGTTCTAGGCCAGCTTTGGCTGCACTTAAAAACCCTGTCCTAAAACAAAACAAAACAAAACCTAATCAAATCACAAACAGAGGACTTTATTTGGAAAAGCAGTATCAAAGATGTGATTGAGCCTCAATATTTTACTTTGGATGTGTAAAGAAAAAGATATATTTCTATTTCCTAGAAAAACCCATGACACATCTTGGCTGCACATCTCCTCACGGTTCAGGCATGCCTGTATTATGCTGGCAGACATTATCCTGAAAATCATACCCTGAGGGCGATGGTTGAAATGTACACACACACTTACAGCTTGTCCATTGTCTTTTCTGAATTTAAATTTGCAAGTAAATAGTAGATAAATGCTATGATTAGTAAGCACAGAATTATTTGGGAATATATATTCTTAAGGAAAATAAATGGAACTTGACTTGTAGACCTCCCTAAAAATGCAGTTTATAATACTTAAAATACTGAAACCAGAGCCAGAATAATGAGATGTGTTAAGTAGCCTACAGAGTAGTAATTAAAAAAACAAAAGAAACAAAACCACATTAATAATCAAATCCCTAGTTCTGAATTGAAAGTCTATTGATTATAAATATACACTTTTATGGAATATAAAAAGTAAGAAACTTGCCGGGCGGTGGTGGCCTTTAATCCCAGCACTTGGGAGGCAGAGGCAGGCAGATTTCTGAGTTCGAGGCCAGCCTGGTCTACAGAGTGAGTTCCAGGACAGCCAGGGCTACACAGAGAAACCCTGTCTCGAAAAACCAAAAAAAAAAAAAAACAAAAAAAAAAAGTGCTGGGATTAAAGGCATGCGCCACCACTGCCCGGCTTTGTTTATGTTTTATTATTAAAATTTTAAACATATTTTATGCGTGCATGTATTTTACTTACATATATGTCTGTGCACCCCATATGTGCCTATTACCTGGAGAGGTCAGAAGAGGGGCATAGGCATTGGATCTCCTGGAACTGGAGTTACATATGGTTATGAGCTACCATGTGGGTGCTGGAAAGTAAATCCGGATCCTCTGGAAGAACAACCAGTATTCTTAACTGCTGAACCATCTCTCCAGTCTCAGGGTGATTTATTTTTAGTCTATATAATGTAGCATAATCTTATGAGTAAGAATAGAGATAGGCTGGTAAAATGGCTTAATGAGTAAAGGCCGCTTGACCTAGAGACATGTGTTTAATCCCTGGAATCCATGTAAAGGTGAAAAGGGAGAACCACAAAATTGTCTTCTGACTTGTACATGTACATGCTGCATGCTGTGATCAACCCCCCCCCACACACACGCACAAAGATAGAGATATATGTTTTGAAAGATCACATATTTTGAAGCTAGCCTGGTCTACAGAGTGAGTTCCAGGACAGCCAGGGCTACACAGAGAAACCCTGTCTCGAAAAACCAAAAAAAAAAGAAAGAAAAAGAAAGAAAAAAAAAACAGAAAGATCACATATGGTGCTAGGGAGAAGGGAAGACCTTAGGATTCTAGCCTCAGCATGGAAAAGGAAAAATCCTGACTCTGGGTTAGTATCCTAACTTTGTCTTAGGAATTACTTGTCAGCCCATATACCTCATTGTCCCCATCTGAATTCCGTACAGTAATAATCCTAGTTTAGGACTGCAAGGAATGGTTTACTTCTAACAGAGTTTGGGGAATGGATGCTGCTGCCATTCCTACCTGCAGGGCTTGAGAGTGGGCAAAGCACAGTGGAGCCCTAAGCAGAGGTAGTTAGAGATTTGCAGTGCTTTGGAGGGGAAGCATAGCTGAAGACAGACAGTTGTGCTGATTTGCTTTCAGCTAAGCTATTTACAAGCAGGCCTTTTATTTTATTTTTTTAAACATGACAGGGTGCTGATACTTTTGAAGCAAAAGTTAATATTGAGGTGCAGTTGGCTTCCGAATTAGCCATTGCTGCAATTGAAAAAAATGGTGGTGTTGTTACTACAGCCTTCTATGACCCACGAAGTCTAGGTAAGTATGCTCTGGTCAGTTTCTCTCTCTTTATTGCTTACTGTGTTTGTTGGCCAGTGTTTAGTGCTTTGGCAGGACTCAAAGCTGCCCTTTTTTTGGCTTAGGTAACCAAAATGTGCATATCTTCACGGAGACATCAATGTGTACACAGAAATAAAACTAAACAAACAAAAAAAAATCTTAAAAACTTTCAGAGGGGCATTAGCTTAAATATTCTTTCTCTTTCTTGCCTCTTTTTCATCTTCCTTTTTTATTAAGAATGGCTTTTTCCCCCCAATTCCCTAGATAGTACAGTAGGAAGCATTCAGGTTGTGCAAGCCTGACCTGAGTTTGAGCCCATGGTGGAAGGAGCGCTGACTCCTGACAGTTGTCCCTGGATCTCTCCACATGCACAGCACATGTGAAAGCCCCTCCCTGAGAATAATAAAAAAATGAAAAACACTTGAAAAGAATTGTTTCCATTTTGCTTACTCAAGCCTGTTTTACTAAAATGTCCTTGGAATTCAGTTCTCATTTTAGGACGTTTAAAAATCAACAACTAAAAAATGTATAGCAGTTATTACCTATAGAGGCAGTATTTACATCTCTTTCTAAAAATATCTTTTTAGAAATTCTGTGCAAGCCTGTTCCATTCTTTCTGCGGGGACAACCCATTCCAAAAAGAATGCTTCCGCCCGAGGCGCTGGTGCCCTATTACACAGATGCAAAAAACCGGGGCTACCTGGCCGACCCTGCCAAGTTTCCTGAAGCAAGACTTGAGCTCGCCATGAAATATGGCTACGTTCTTCCTGATATCACGAAAGACGAACTCTTCAGAATGCTCAGCACTCGGAAGGATCCAAGGCAGATTTTCTTTGGTCTGGCTCCTGGCTGGGTAGTGAATATGGCAGATAAGAAAATTCTAAAACCTACAAATGAGAATCTTCTCAAGTATTATAGCTCCTGAACTGGTTTCTAGTAAATCAGACTCGTGAGCCAGATGGGATGCATGGATTCTTGTGGGTCTTAAAGCCTTGGGATTGGTACCAGCCTTCACTGTGGTTAAATCTCTTGTTCTTTTTCCATCTTAAATTAAATAGTAGGCAGCAAAAGCTTCATGGAGGGATTGAGCCTTTGATGGTGTATTTTTGAACAATTCAAACAGTGGCAGTCTTTAGAAAAGTGATTAAAAAGAAAAAACTTACTTAAAATTACCTTTCTTTTGGGAGCTGGAGATGGAGCAGTGTGCTTTGATACATGGTTTCTTGGTGTAGCCCTGGCTTCGAACTCACACAGTTCCACCTGCTTCTGCTGGGGTTAAAGGGATGTGCCACTACCGCCCAGCCTGACTTTAAGTAGTTTAAAATGTATTTCTTTACTGTCCCATCTTTTCATGGTCTTTTCTTAACCTACATTTTCTCTTTCATCAGAGTGCAGGGCAGAGATTGATTAGTAGGCCTGGGAGCACTTTACTGTGTGTGGATTTAAGCTAGGCCCTGTTGGCGTTATGTTTTTTAAAGTGGGGTACATCAGACAAGTTATTTCATCTTCCTTAAGCTGAGGTACAGTGTCAGTCTGAAGTAACAAGAGTGTATAACAGACTGCAGAATCTCTTTCCTACCCTTCTTTGCAGTTTAGAGGTTGGACCAGTGCTATACATACTGGAAGACACTGCCCCTCGGCTTCATCTTCAGGTTAGGTACATGAATGACACAGATGCTTCCTGTCTCTGAAGAGAACTTTGTCCGTAGCCTGTCTGTATAGAAATCAGTTTCCTTACACATCCTGTATTGTAACTATGGGGTGTGCTGTAGCCCTAAGTAAGCTGTTGTCTTGCCTCATTGTGCAGGAGGCTTTCCTTTGGTGCTGCAGTTTACAATTGTGGATCTCAGAGATGCTGCCTTCACAGGAAAACTTCTTTACAGGAAGTGAGAGGAAATGAGTCACCTAAGGGGAGACCACATTGCAGCCTTCCATCTCAGAGTGTCCTTTCAGGGTCTTTGGACTCCCCTCCCCCATCCCTTCAAGCCGAATGACTACTTCACATAGGAGAGCTGACAGCCAAACATGGGCTTTCTTCACATTGGTTGTCTGGTGGCATACAGGTGGAAGGAAATTGGAATAGAGTGATAAAGGGAAGAGTAAAAACAGGAAACAGGTGTCTGGTGAAGGAGAATGCTGGCCAGTGTTTATTTGGTGACAGGAACTTTGTCACAAACAGCTGTATCCGGGTTGAGATACTGTAACCTCACAGCTCATTCTCAGCCAAAACAGCACCATCCATAAAGCTCGTCTGGGCTACTATAGCCTTGTGCCATTCACAAGGGCACAGGGAGAGGTCCAGGAGAGGTGGTAGCTGTATGAGTATATCCCTTGAGAATATACCTTTAAAAGCAAGAAGCCTTCAGTGTAGAGCTGTCCTTTTTGGAATGTGGTCTCAGCTGGCCTCAGAATACATGGCTTTGGTGGCCAAGCTCTAAACAACTTGAGTTAATTTGTGTTTTAAAACAATTTTTAGTGCCAGGCATAGTTAGTTGTACACACTTTTAATCTCAGCACCCAGAAGGCAGAAAGGCAGGTGTATCTCTGAGTTTAAGGTCAACCTGGTCTTCAAAGTGAGATCCTATCTCCAAAAAAACAAAGCAAACAACAAACAATTCTAGAGTCCAGGGACAGATGGGCAAAGTGTTGAAGTTTAAATTCTAAAGCCTGTGTGAGCCATGTAGGAGCTTGGCACTGTGTGCATGGGCATCAGAAGACTGGTCAGACCCCTCCAGGCTCAGTGGCCAGCCAGTTTAGCCAAATAGTGAACCTCAGGGTCAGTAAATAAGAAATCTTATATCAAAAAAACCCCAAACAAACAAATAACTAACAATGAGCTTAACAGCTCAGCAGCTATGAGCACTTGGTTCTTGCAGAGGACCCAAGTACAATTTCCAGCACCCGCATGGTAGCTCACAACCATCTGTTTTCCCAATTCCAGGGGACCGGATGCCCTCTTCTGACTTCCATGGGTGCCAGGCAAGATACTCATACATGTAAGATTTTAAAAAAGCCATTGGGAAAAGATATGTGGCCAGCATCTAGTCTCCATGTGTGCCTGCCTGCATCTGCCCCCACACCCCATTTCTAAACTGAGAGGGAAAATTTGTTATGATCTGAGTCCCTGGTCTTTTTTATTAAATGTAACTCACTATTTGGGAAGTAGAAGGTTCTTCATAGAGTGGGAAGTGTCAGATGAGACTAGTACTACTCATTTTACCTAGGGTGGAAGAGAGTGGGCTCTGATGTTAGCGTGAGTGCCAGTGATACCTTGCTGCAGGCAGACCACTACATTGTATAGCTTTGCCTGTTACATGCCTGGAGCTGCAGAGCCATCTGGATGGAACACTTGACTAGGACTTAAAGCAGGACTAGATTTGGGACTTCGGCATACAGTTTATTCTCTGCCTCAGTTTCACTATCGGTGAAATGGAGAGTAAAGTAAAAATTTGGTTATTTTAAAATACAAATTATCTTAAGGATTTTACTACTGTGATCAGTACCATGACCTGTACTGTAATCAAGTTGGGAAGGAAGGGCATTACACTTCCATTGCACTGTTGATCAAGGGAGAAAGCCAGGATAAGAACTCAATCAGGGCAGGATCTGTAGATACCATGGAGGGTGCTGCTTGCTGACTTGCTCCTCATGGCTTGCTCAGGCTGCTTTCTTATAGAACCCAAGATCACAGCCCAGGGAAGGTACCACCAACAATGGTCTGGGTCCTCCCCCATTAATCACTAATTAAGAAAATGCCCTATAGGCTTGCTTACAGCTGGATCTCAGGGAGACATTTTCTTAAATTGAGATTCCTTCATTTCAGATGACTGTTGACATAAAATTAGAACAATTATGAAAGTCGCTAGTGTTTGTAAAGCATGTAGCTCATGGCCTGCTTCATAGGTCTTTAGGGGTGTTGGTGAGTTAGTGTCTCTTCTGGTCCTTATGTAGCTGCCATCCTATGGATGCTACTTCCTTCCCTTTTAGGATTTACATATAGTCTGTGTTTAGCCTTCTGTAAGTCATTCTTGAGTCTCACTATTGAGAAGATGCATGATAGACTTTAGATTGTTTTTAGCAGGAGCTAAAAAATACATTTTGAAGAGGCAACATCACAGAGGCAGAACCTGAGGGTAGAGTTTCTGACTTGATCACTGGTTTACTTTGCAAAACCTTCAAGACCCAGTAACTTCTTTTTCTCTTTCAAAAGCATTTATATAGTTTGTGTATGTTCATGTTACAAAAGGCACACACTTGACAATTAGAAGACAGCCGATGTGAGTTGGTTCTCTTCTTCCACCACCTTCATTCTGGAGATCAAAATCAAGTCATCAGGCTTGGTGGCCTTTACCTGAAGAGCCATCCTGCAGGCCCCTACTAATTCTATAAGCACCTTATCTGTTTGAAGAAGATAGTACAATCGAGAGGGAGAGTTTTAAGGTTATTAGATCTAGGAATTCTGTGTATTGAACAAAACTACAGAAGGGAAGATAAAGGTGCTAGTTGTTTCAGATTTGGGTGCTGTGTTTCTCTGTATATATAGATGATTTTATTTTCACCAATTAAAATTAAGATTCATATATCTTTTTAAAGATTTTTAAGCACTGGAGGTTTGAATTTCATATTTGGCAATGCATTCTAAGCTTTCATTGTGTAAAGGATACACACGTGGAAAATCAGTCTGGGACATTACAGTAACAACAGTGACAATAAACTTTATGGGACAAGGAGATGACTCAGTGGTTAAGAGAACTTGCTGTGCAAGAATGAGGACCTGAGTTTGAATACCCAGCACCTATGTAAAAATTCAGCCATGATTGCACATGCCTGTAACTCTAGCACTGTGGATCGTGAATCCAGGATGATCTGGGGCTTAGGGGTCACCAGCCTAGTGAGAAAGAGGCCTGTCTGCAGGAAATAAAGTGAAAAAATAATAGACACTAGACATCCTCATTTGTTCTGTGCACACCTGGAAATGGGTGCATTCGCCCATGTATGTACAGACACGTATTCCCTTCTCCAAAATACCTTTTTTAAAAAAAATTAAATTTTTATTAATCAAATTGAATTATTTCTTAAAGCTTTCATTTTTTATTTAAAAGTAAACTAATTTTAAATAATGGAAATTTTTTGTTTGAATTTTTTATTTATAAGCTGGTAACTGCATACACATGTATGTATGTTTGTATGTACACACACACACAAACTTGAAAGGGTTGCCAAGGGATTTTTGTTTAAGGTTAGAGTTAAGGCCACTTCATGATATATAACAAGACTGCGTAGTCATCCTCTAGGCTTGATGCTCTTGCTTCCAAATCCTGGCAAAGTTAAAGTACAGGCTGGATTCAGAAATGCTTTCCAACTCAAAGCTTTTCTCCAGGGGAAGAATTGGAGTTTTCCAAGATGAAATCCGCATTTCAGGTTGACAAGGCTTCCCCCTAGTGGCCAAATGCAAGCATTCTTTAGGGAAATTCCAGGTTTGATGAATAATATTAAATATTCATGAGTATTTCTACATTCAACAGTTCTCAAGGGCACACACACACAAGGCACGATGCCAGAGACATTTAAATTAGGCAGTTGCCTCAGAGGTCCAGACACTAGGAGTACCAAACCACTGAAATTCAATGGACAGAATCTGAAGTAATTTTCAAAGGGATTAGAACCTATGTCTGGTAGAACAAACCCAAGTTCTGTAATAGATGGTGACCACAAAAAGATGAAGGCAAGACAGCCAAATTCCAAGTTGTAGCAACTGCTTTCACACCAACTTTCTTCAGTTCCCTCAGAAAAATCAGAAAATACAGATCCCATCAACTTTGTTTTAGATGTTGATGGTCTCAAGTTTCCTAGTTGGATATTATGGTATCCCTAAGCATGTTAAGGATAACATAGCTGACAAGCTCTTACTTCTTGCTATATTATACAGTGAAGTCACAGAGTGGAGACTCACAAGCCAATGTTGAACATGGAAGCAATGTGGTTTTGACGGGGTTGGGCCAAGTTAGCCAGAAGTACAGTTGAACTCCAGTTGCCTTGCCAGCAAAATTGTGTGAATAATGAAAGGGATTTCCATTAAGCACAGGAACTTTTTTTTTTTTTTTAAAGAAAAAATTCTACATACCCTAAGCTGGGCTTGAACTTGATTCTCTGTTTCTAGAGGGCTAGGATTACAAATATGCTTTACTGAGCCTGGCTGGCATTCATCATCTGACTATACAGGGCTGACAAGATGGCTCAGTGCATAAAGCTGTTTTCCAGGCAGGCCTGTTGATCTGAGTTCAATTCCTGGAGCCCATGTAGAAGGTGGAAGCAGAGGCCAACTCCGAGTGGCCTCCACGTGTGTGCCAAGACACTTCTCCCACATCATAACCACACATAATAATACATTAAAAAACAGTTAAAAGGAAATATTCGTGGAAGAAAGCCTCCCTTCCTTAGGTAGCAGAGTTACAGAAGACATAATAATGCTCTGGCTACTGGAATCCCCCTGGGAACTGATAGAGCTGGAGGTGAGTTTCAGCACCCTCTTGCCTGTCTTCATTCCTGGATAGTTCAGTGATCTCCCCAGACCAAAAAGGTCAACATTCTTTATAATTTGATCTGTCCCAGCCACTAAGAGGCAAGATAGAATTCAGAAATTTTACTCTTAGGGTTGTTTCAAAAGTAGGGCAGGAAGCTGGGCACGGTGGCTCCCTCCTTTAATTACAATATTTGGGAAGCACAGGCGAGTGGTTCTCTAAGTTCAGGGCCAGCCATAGTGACATGGGACACAGAACCAAGCTAACATTACTGCAGTGCCGCGCATGGCCATTAGGTGGCACTGTTTCCTAAATTTTCTCAGGCTGTTTACACAGCTGTGATTGGTTTGTTTTGTTTGTTTTTGAGACAAGATTTCTTTCTCATTGGACCGGGACTGTCATAGAACTCATTCTGTAGACTACACTGGCCTCGAGCTCAGGGATCCGCCTGCCTCTGCCTCCTAAGTGCTGGGATCAAAGGTTCATGCTACCACACCCAGCCTGTAATTGTTTTTCTGTAAATAATATTCTTAAATGTGACAAAACATTTTGCTTTTTAAAGAACGAGATTAGAAGATAAAAAAAAAATGTGACATATAACATGCAAATTCTGCTTTATACAATATTATGGAGAAAAAGGTTTTAAAACGTCACCATTAAGAAAAAAACCATTAAACAACATAAAACAAAAAGACAAAAGCCCCAAACAATAGATTGAAGTCCAGGTAAATATTTGAGAATAATATTGCACATTTTGTATTATTGGTCAGGATGAAGCCACCATAAGAATAAGAAAGTCAAACTGAAATACACTTACTTTAAACTGTGTGTGTATGTGTGTGACTAATTTCAGGAAACACACTTATTAAAGAGATGTGAAAACTCCAAGAAGGACGGCATCATTTTATAATGATATAAATAAACTGCTGAACCTTCAGCCTATTAAACATCATCAAAGACATCCACTCAAGGTCACTGGTAAAAATGGTCTTCCTGTTCTTTCCTTTAGAATAAACAAATCTATAAATTGAGACTTCAGGCCTACAGCTACAGGGAGCGTCCAGCAAGAGCAGAGCCGCAACAGGACAGCAACAGTGGCAAGCACCTCCAGTTTTGTTCCTGTGCCTCGGGCCAAGCACAGACATCCTGGCTCCAGCCTCTTGTCAGGTTGCAGAAGGAAGGTGGAGGGTGCTCACACACTTCATCTCCAGGTTTTAGTGGCAGTTTTCTGAGCTTGTGTCAAGCACAAGTGCCCTTATTTCTACCACCCAGCTGATCACCCTGTTGGCTCCCCTCAGTCTTCAAGAAGAACCTAGGGTTCCTGTTGCAATTTACCTACGACTGTGGATGATTAGAACACTCTGAGGGAGAAATGAGAGGTCCAGACAGGTACTGCTCCGCACAGGAAGAGGCATGCCCATATTAAACCTGGTATCAAAGCTCCAGGTGGGTGAAAACGGCTGGGAGTTCTCCTGAATGGTTTTCCTCAACCTGTAAATACGACTTGACAGTAACTTCCAACAATTTAAAATCCTTACATCTTTGGTCCCAAAGCCAGGTTCAAAGCTACATGTGACGTTGCAACATTGGAATCTGGGACGAGTGGCTCCTGCTCTTGTTCCCCTGCTGCCTGGTGCACGTGGCCACTGCGCCTGTGCTGAACTGTGGTCTGTAACCTTGGACTTGCCACACTGAGATTTCAAACGCAGTCCTTGGATAGTTCCTTCAGAAATACCAAGTTTCTTCTGGTTGTTTGGTCGCTATCTGCAGGAGCAATATGGCAAGCGGGGGGTGGGTGGTGGGTGGGGAGCTACTGTTTGCCAAGTGAAATAACACGCATGCGCCAAGCTTGTGGCTCTAACGTTTACCATCTTCAGAAGGAGTAGACTTGTGGGAAGCATGGCAACCGTGCCAAACACCAGAGGGCGCAGAACTAGGATGAACTAAAGAGGCACTTAGAAACTGTTTAGATCCAGATGTGGATTCCCAGAAGGAACAGCACCCAAAGCCAAGAGGGTGGCCTGTGTAGCATGGGCTGATTTTGAGGACTTCATTAATCTGTTGCAAAACAAATGTTCTACTTTCAAAAACTAGAAGAAAAAAATGAGAGAAATATCAAACTTTATCAAACATGGATGGAAGGTGAGGAGAACTGCAGCGTTTGAGTTAAAAACATCGGATCCAACGAGGTATCCAAGACAGTGACATAAAGGTTTCCAGTCTGGTGACACCTCACTTAGCAGAGTCACGGCTTTCTGCTGCTTTCTGCTGCCTCGTGTAGGAATGGGAAAGCACGCCCATCTCTTTGTTCTACTTCCTGTTCTGGGGAGAACCCTTTTCCACCTCCTGCCTAGCTCTCTCAGGGTGAGAAACATGTAGTAGTATCAAGATCATAATTAGAATGTAGTGTTCCAAATCCTCCAGTAACACAAAAGAAAACCAACGGGGCTGTTTCAGGCTAATAAGTACAGTGTGTATGTAATAACCACACTAACTTGTGAGAGGTGGAGAAAGTGAAGAAAGACAAAGGTTATTCAGACGTTCTCACTGAACCATAAGGAATGTGTCCTGTGTGTTGTAACTTGCTGAGCCTCTCTGGATCTCAGCTCTGTGTCACTGGACATGGACACTCACCAAGAGATCTCACTGTCAAGAGAAGATCTTATGGCTATTATACAGAGCCAAAACCAGGTCAGCTAATATCTCTGCCCAATCTTCTTGGTCTTTCCAAGGTACTTTTGGTTCTTTCCAAGATACTCCAAAACTAAGCATCAAAGCCTCAATATTTTAAGGTACTCAGCTATTACAGGCAAAACTAAGTAACTGAGCTGGAGAGATGGCTCTGTGGTTGAGAACACTTGCTGCTCTTCCAGAGGACCTTGGTTCAATTCCCAGCAATCACATCAGGTGGCTCAGAACTACCTGTCACTTCCTCTCAAGGGGCTATGCCACCCACTTGTGGCCTCGGTAGGCACTGGTTACACATGTACACTCACATGCTTGCACATACATTTCAAAAGAAGCCAGGAGTGGTTGTGCATGTCTTTAACCCAGCACTTGGGAGGCAGAGAGGGGTCGATCTCTTGTGAGTTTGAGACCAACCTGGTCTAATAGTGAGATCCAGGAAAGCCAGAGCTGCATAGTGTGACTTCTTGAAAGGGTTTTTTGTTTGTTTGTTTGTTTAAAAAAAACAACTGATTTTTAATGACTGCCAATATGTCAGACCTAGACCTAAGTTCATCGTATGATCTCTAAATGACCTCCATCCCACCACAGGCTTCTGGGGGCTGTTTGGAGCCCCTGCCCATCATTGACTTTTCCCTAAGGAGATCTTGCAATGAGCTCCAGTGGGCAGATGACCACTTACCAGGGAATTCGAGTACTTAGCTGTCTTTCTATTGATATAAGAAGACACTCACAAATTTTTGCTGCTTCCAGGTGAAAATAAACTAGAAAACCCTCAAAGACCATTTGGTAAGGGTGTGGCTGTGTTCACGAAGCTCCTCCCATTGAGAAGGGCGTGGCTATGTTCTCAACGTTCTTCCCA